ACCTCTGAGCAGCCAGCCCCAGGAACTCCTGTTGCCTCCTCTAGGAAAAGCAACGAACCACAGAGATGTGGCTTCCTAGAGAAGTCGGAATGGCCCCCTGGGGGCAACCGGAAACCGGCGTATTCCGGAGGTCGGCCATCCTTCAGGCTCTCGGCTGCTGTACTTCCGGTTCCGGTGTCATCTCCCAGTGTCCAGGTACGGAGGAGGCGCCCGAGGCTGGAGCCGCACCCTGAGCCCCTGGTGAGCGGGATGGGACCGGGGTCGGGGCTGCTGCGGTGGCCGGGAGTGGCGCACAGGGGTCGCGGAGAGGTACTGAGTACAGCACCTCGAGTCTGCGGGTGACCCCGGAGTGGATCTCCAGGTTCCCACCTCGGCCTCGCTGCTGTGGTGCACAAAAGCAGCGTGAGACTTCTCTAGGGGACGGTTTGGTTTTTAGGGATGGACCCGTTGTCAGCTTTTAATTTTATAAAACGATATATAAAAAGCAAACCACGCACATCACCGTTACTGAAGAGAATACAGTTTAATACTAAGACTGTGGACTCAGAATGAATGCGGACCTTTGCCAAAAAAAAAAAAAAAAAAAAATAAAAAAAAAAAAAAAAAAAAAGTGATTGCCAGTCTGTCAGGGACTGTCTATGACTTGCTCTTTTTTGTTTGTTTGTTTGTTTTGTTTGTTTTTTTTGTTTTGTTTTTTGAGACTGAGTCTCACTTATGTAGTGAGACTCACCTGGAACTCGCTCTGTAGCCCAGGCTGGTCTCGAACTCACAGCGATCCTCAGCCTCCTGAGTGCTGGGATTACAGGCATGCGCCACCACGCCCGATTTATTGCTCTGTTTTAATAGCTTGCCAGATTAAAGCTCTATCCGGGTAGTTTGGAAACTATTGTTTGAGGTAGCAGTTATTTGAGTTTTATAATTTTCTTCTTCAGTGGAACTGTTTTGGAGGTTTGGAGCTACGAATTTGCTCCCCCAGCTTATTTAGTTGAGTGTGTTTGCACGAATCACTTAGTTCCTCTAAGCTTTTGGGGATCTTAACTTGTGCCTCATAGACCTTTTGTGAGAAGCAGAGTCTACATTTAAGATTTGTCATTTCTATCTGCAAATAATTGTGAATAGAATTCTGGTAATTTATGTAGACAGTCACTTAAATTGCTTTTTAAAAATTTCTTTAAGCCGGGCATGGTGGTGCACGCCTGTAATCACAGCACTCGGGAGGCTGAGGCAGGAGGATCGCCGTGAGTTCGAGACCAGCCTGGGCTACATAGTGAGTTCCGGATCAGTCTCAAGTATATAGTGAGACCCTGTCTTAAAAAACAAAGCAAAAATTTCTTTACATCACCCCTAAGTGTTCATCACGAACTGTCACATATTTCTTAGTAATTTTATCCCTCCTGCTGCCCCATTTAGAGCTTTATCACGTGTTCATTGCAGAACTGTAACTAGCCTTTCTAATATCCAATTCTCCCTCACCCATCATTTCTTTCTTACTGATTTCGCACTCTATTTAAGGCTCCTTTCAGAGTGCTCAGTGAAGTCTTTTCAAACCTGGCACAACACCCAGAGACCATAAAACAAAAGATTGCGTGGCAAAAACCTTAATAAGCAATGTCAGGCAATGCATGACAAAGACATAGCCAATGGAAAAATTCGCAGCTCCTGTTGTAGCAACATTTTACTTTGATACAGGATGTGTACAAAATAACAAGACCCAGCACCCCCAGAGAAATACGACCAAAATATATAAATATTTAACAAGGTGTCTTTTAATATACTCATTTACTTGAGATACAAGTTTAAAACTTGGTAGAAATAACAGACTGTGTGTCACATGCTCATAGTCCCAGCACTCAGGAGGCAGAGGTGGGAGTATCTCGAGCCCAGGAGACTTGAGACTAACCTTGGCAATATAGCAAGACCCTAACTAAAATAAAAAAGGCACAGATGGCAGTCTTTGTCAGCTAGATGGTGAAAGGAGATTGCCATCCCCCCGCAGTTCATGCTGGTGGGAGTGTGGGTTGTAAAGTGTGTCCATGCTAATGAGGACTGCTTGGCAGTGTCAAAGTTATGAATGCATATTTTATTTGTTTTGTTTTGTTTGAGACAGGGTCTCACTATGTAGTTGAGACTGACCTGGAACTCACTATGTAGCCCAGGCTGGTCTCGAACTCATGGTGATCCTCCTGCCTCAGCCTTCCAAGTGCTGGGGCTCTGAGTGCATACTTTATGACCCAGCAGTTCTGCTTCAAGGAACTTCCATACATAGGTCTATACACGTGCAAATTGATGTTTGGTCACGGTTATTGATGATATTATTGGTAGTTTAAAATTGAAAATTGTATGTCTCATCAGTGCTGGAGTGCAAAATAAATTAAGGTGCATCTGTAACAGTGGGGAAGAGCTTTGTATTGACTGGAAAGATCTTTGGGATACATCATTGAGGAAAGAAGGTGGAACACATTGGTGATACACTACCATTGGTGAGAAAGGGGAAATGCCAAAAAGCAATACGTGTGTACATTTGTCTGTACATAAGTAGCTGGAAAGGTATATAACAAACTAGTCAAGAGAGGGAAACTCAGTAGTATGTGTTTTGTAATTCCAAACCTTGAACCAAATGGATAGCTTACCTTTTAAAAAAAAAAGGAAAATTTCAGGTAAAGCCTCCTTCACAGTTGTTTGTCACTTACAAGACATGATCACTTCCATATTCTGCTTCTCAGGAACCTTTAGAATTTGACCTCTGCTAACCTCCCTGATTTATTTCTACCACCTTGCCTCCAAAGTTTACTTCTCTGGTTTGCAAAGCCCATTTGTTTTATTGTTGTTATTGTTTTCATTGTAAAGTTCCTTTTAAACAATTGGCAAACGTTAGTAATAATACAAGATTGAGTGATCACTTAACAACTGAGAAATTAGAAGGAAAACACCGTTATTCTGTATAAAACACAGTGTTTAGCACAGCAAATTTAGAGAGTAAGGGTACAGACATCAGTGCTTTCATATCTGCTGAACAGCCCAATATTGTGAGTCAAAGAACAGAGAACAAAGGAAAGAGCCAGGGTGAGGTGGGGCGAGGATTGAAGGCAGAGTATAAAAGCCTTTTATTCTGTGTCCCCAAAGGTGGTGTGGAAGTAAAAGGCGTCTACATCTAAAAAGTTTATATAAATCATATAAATCGCAACTTTTGTAAAAGTCAGAAGGAAATGTTCTGCATAGGACAAATATAGGTCGACGCCACGTATTGCAAAGCCCACTTGTGTTTCTTGTAATGCCCTGTCCTGTCCTGCCCCATCCCACCCCGCCCCATCCCATGCTGGACATTGCACCCAGGGCCTCATACATGCTAGCAAAATCCTGCAAAGCCCATTTATAACAGTTATGTGTAAGGCCACCCCCTTACATTTAAAAAATAGTTTCTTCCTGGAATGGTTTTCCTAATATCCATTGGTCCATTTATTTTTCCTTTAATGTTCACTCTGAATTTACCTTTCATGAGTCCTTTCTGTGTTTATATGTTCTCCTAGTAGCTGTATTTACACATATTGAAATTGTGTTTAGATTTCTGTCTCTCCTGCTTGGTTATAACCAAGCTTTTTGAGGCTTTGTGTGTTAATGAATTAATGAAAATACCTTCATCTGTTGCTGATGGTGATGTGAATGTTAGAACCTTAAAAGTTTAATAATATTTATAACCTTTGAACTAGCAATTTTCCTTATAGAAATTTATCTTGAAAGAATAATCAGAGATGGGCTAGGAATGTAGGTCAGTGGTAGGACACTCACCAGTCATGCAGTAGGCCTTAGGTTTGCTCCTGGGGAGAGCGGGTAGTTAACCAAGTTTTTCATCAAGGATAGTCATTGTGGCCTTATTTATAATAGGAAAAGATTGGAGATAATCTAAATGTGTAGCAACAGGGAGCTATTTAATTATGACTAGACTCATATAGCTCTTAAAAATAATGAGCAGTGTTCAAAATCACGTTTACTATATAATATGTGAGAAAGCAAGTTTTGGAGTAGTGCCGTCAGATCCATCCTTGTAATCCAGATTCATGCATAGAAAATGGGCTGGAAGGACGGTCCAAAACAGTAGCAACAATTGTTTTCTGGTTTGCGCATGTTTTTCAGTTTTACCAGTTACCTGTTTTGTAATCAGAAATGTAAGTGTAGGGCTGGGAATTTAGTTCAGTGGTTCTGCTTGCCTGCCTCACAAGCACAAGGTCCTGAGTTCAATCCCCGGTACCAAAAAAGAAAGAAAAGAAATGTAAGTGTATTTCAAAAGATCAGGGCTGGGGATTTAGCTCAGTGGTTCTGCCACCTACTTTGCAAGCAGAAGGTCCTAAGTCTGATCCCTGGTACCCCTCCTCAAAAAGAAAAAAAGAAACAAAAGATCCAATGATTTCTAAGGAGCAATAAGCCTTATTCAAAGTAATACAAAGATTTGTTATGTACAGGTACCAAGTCCCCATGATGAATGTAATCCTTACGTACTGTAAATATGTATAATAAAAATTAAAATAATTTTTAAAAGTGGAAAAATTTTAAAATTACAAAAATAAAGTAATATGAGTATTTTGATTAACAGAGCGAACAATTTTCAAAGAATTAAAAGTAGATACAGCAAAGTTACATAGAACTTAAATCAGCCATTCTTTGCTAATTATTAGGGTTTTTCACATCTATATATCCAGATGAAGACCATGATCATTTGTCGACTGCTGAGTGTAGGAAACCAAGCTAGTTACAGAAGGACCACTAACACTGGAGTCCGTGTGTCAGGCAGTATTCAGAAGCTTGGGATGGGGTGGAAGTACAGCTCAGTGGTGGACTGCTTTCCTAGCACATCACCCTGGATTCAGTTCCCAGCTCTGCAAAAAAAAAAAAAAAAACAACTAATAAAACCCACCTTGAAATATGTTTAGAGCCAGGTGTAGTGGCACATGCTTATAATCGAAGCACTCTTGGAGACTAAGGCAGGAGAATTGCAGGTTTGGGCCCAGTCTGGGCACTTGGTGACTTAGTGAAACTTTGTCTCAAAAATTTTAAAAAATAAAATACAAAGGGGTAGGGATGTAACTCTTTGCAAAGGCTGAGTTCAGTCCCCAGCAACACACACACACCCAAAGAAAAGTGATATTTAGATGTCATATTCTCACAACTCTCTAAGGTAGGAACTGCTGTTATTCCTGTTTTACAAATTAAGAAATGAAGGCTTAGAAGTGGTGAAATTTGTTGAATTACGGAAGTATCCAGGCAGCCCACATTAGTGGTAAGGTGTGATGGAAGCGATCCTCTGAATAAAGACCAGAGCATTTCCATGTTGCTGGTTTTGGCAGTGTCTGTCCTCAGGGCCTTAGGCAGGGTGTTTCTGCCAGCGAAGCAGACTCAGGAGCCCTGAACCCTGGGTTCAGGGAGATTCTTTTTACTACTAGGAGCTGCCTGGGGAAAGCTTGATTACTTCTCTGGTTAACTTTAACAATGATTTCTTAAGGTCTTAGAGATGACAGTCTCCACACTCTAAGGAAGAAGTCGAGCAAACATTAAGGGAGCCCAGAGCGGAAGCTTTCTTAAAAGACAGCAATGACGAGAGAGACCTGGGCCCACAGTGCTTTGCCACAAGAGGGCCTTGTGAAGGGAAAGGGTGATACCGGGAAGTGGGGAGCTGGTTACCCCAGCAGCAGCTCCTCCATGTGGGAGACGTCGCACATGCAGTTCAGACAGTTGCGGTACCATGAGACCTCCGGACCCCAGGAGGCCCTGAGCCGGCTCCGGGAGCTCTGTCGCCGGTGGCTGAGGCCAGAGGCACGCACCAAGGCCCAGATCCTGGAGCTGCTGGTGCTGGAGCAGTTCCTGAGCATCCTGCCCGGGGAGCTCCAGACCTGGGTGCAGCTCCATCGGCCTGGGAGTAGCGAGGAGGCTGTGTCCCTGGTAGAGGAGCTGCAGAAGTACCTGGATGGACCAGCACTAAAGGTGAGAAGGGCTGGCTTGGGGGTGAATGGAGGGAAGGGGAGACTTGAGGGCCGGCCGGTGGATGAGCCTGGGATTTTCATTAATGAATAATGGCACGTGAACAACCTGGTGCTAATTAAGCAGGTTCAAAAGCTGTTCAGACCACAGAATATATTCGCAAAGTGGTAGATTTGTGGATGAGGTCTTTGGGTCCAACTCAGAACCAACACTTAAGCACTGACTCCACTCTGTCCCCCCGGAGGACGCCTGCTCCTGGTTAAGTTCAGGGCCTTGTGGAGGGCGGTGTGTGTAAGCCTTCCCCAGGGGGAAGGGTATGGCTTGTCTCTGTAAGGCCTCTTGGAATAGTGACAGGAGCCTAGAGTGTGAAAGGCGGTGGCATAGCAAGAACGAAGCTTTCCAGCTCTGTCGTGACCTCTTTTGTATGTCCTGTGGGATTCGGCAAGACCAGGGGTTTAGGTTGAGATATTTGCTTCTGATGAGACTTTATGTCCTTGACCTTTACGTTGGAAGCTTGTGGGTATAAGATCTCTTTCCATAAGTCTGTGGCCCACGAGAGACAGTTCTGTGTAAGAAGTCTGAATCATAACTCAAATGTTAGGGCCGGGGATTTAGCTCAGTGGTTCTGCTGCCTGCCTCGAAAGCACAAGGACCCAAGTTCGATCCCTGGTACCAAAAAATAAATAAATAAATAACGTAACATAACATAATGTAACTCAAATGTCAGTAGCATCATGAATGGGTTTCTTTTGGGTGTGGTGGCACACACCTATAATCCCAGCACCTGGTAAGCTGAGGCAGGAGGATCCCAGGGAGTTCAAGACGAGCATGAACTACATAGTAAGACCCTGTCTCAAAAAACAAACACACACACTCACACACACGCACGCACACACACACACACACACACACACACACGAGTGGTCTCATTTGTTTTAATCATAAAAATGAAGAGTATTAGAGCTGTTTATCTCATTATAGGCCACTTACACATCCTCTTCATTTGAGAGATAAGAAAACTAAGGCAGAAACACTCAGTGGTTTGCCATAGGCTACACATGTAGCTAGCAGGAAAACCAAGTGTCTAGGCACTCACTGCCCAGTTACTTGTGTTGGAGCAGGAAGGTCTAGGTAGAGGGTAGAAGAGTAAGTAAGCAGAAGAGGTGGGATTGAACCCAAGTCTGATGTAAAACTAGGTCTGAAGCTAAATCCATGCTCTCAGTCCCTGCTTGGTACTTCCATCCCACATGTAGGCTGGCTTCTGTTGCCTTCCTGTGCATCCTTCTCCAGACAGGCTGCAGTGCCAGGAAGAGGGCTGGAGGACAGTTTCTTTGTTCTCCTGCAAAGCTTTGCTGCTCTTAGGGGCTCCGTGTTTGAGGTGGGTCTTTCTGACCTCGCAGTTCTTGACTGAGGACAGAAAGAGGTCCGTGATGGTTAGCCGAGCCCATTTTCCAAAGGAACAAGAAATAACTTCTTGTGTTTTGGCTTGTCCCCAGGTTCCGGTCCTTGTCCACAACCAGGACACTGTCCAGGAGGGGTCCAGTGCTCCAGGAGCAGCACTTCCACTTGCACCTCCCAGAGGCCACTTAGCAGCCGAAATCCACCCGAACCCCCTTCCTGACCCAGTAGTCTTCAGCCTCCAGGATCCTCTGCATGGTACTTCCTTTTCCAGACTCCTTCTCTGGCTCATGCACCTAAGCAGGGCAGTGCTTTCTCTCCTGCCCTATGCAGGCCTCCTTTATAGTCCCAGTCTTCTGCTGCTGTGTCTGCTCTTGGCCCTTCTGTCCCTGGTCCCCCTGACTCTGCATCCATTCTGATTGCTACACTTGGGTTGTTCCAGCCCTGTACACAGGAGTCACTCAGAAAAGGTTTGTAGTCCCTTTATAGCCATCGTTGCCTTGTCCTGGGAGTTCTGAGTCATTCTGAGACCCTGATTTGTAGAAAGTATTAGACTTGGGCAGTAGATAAGAATGGCAGGAATCTCATGTGGAGTTGGTCTCCTTCAGATTCTCCTGCCCCTGAAGCATCTGCCCTTTCCCAGGAAGAGAATCCACGAAATCAATTAATGGCACTTATGCTCCTGACAGCCCAGCCGCAGGTAAGTGTGGCGTCCTCCGTCCTTCCTGTCCGCACTGCCGAATTGCTGCTGACGTGCCCTCTCTGACCTGGTGTGGGGTGCCGTCAGTATCTGTCACTAAATCAAGGCCCATCTCACGGAAGACAGACATTACAGGGCCTCTCCTCAGGTCTCCTCAGTATCTGCATCCCACCTCGTGGCCTCACAATGTATCCTGTCCCCAGAAGCGAAAGGACCCTGTTTGTAGGGGAGCTCCCATGCACATGTAACCTCACACACACCTGTTATTTCAGGAGTTGGTAATGTTTGAGGAGGTATCGGTGTGCTTCACCTCAGAGGAGTGGGCCTGTCTGGGCCCAATCCAGAGGGCCTTATACTGGGATGTGATGCTGGAGAATTACGGAAATGTTACCTCTCTAGGTAAGCTTTTTCTTCCCATGATTCTTCAGTTCATCAACTTTTTTTTTTTTTTTTAATAAAGTAGTTTGCTTATTTTGGAAAACAAAATACTACAAAGAAGCAAACCCACTTTAATTCCACTGTTCACAAACAACTACTGTCAACATTTTGATGCTGTCCTCTGGTTTTTTCTGTGTTCAACAGTTTTTATACATTGTTCAAATGTGTGTGACTGTATGTATCTATACAGTTTTAGAATCTTCTTTTTTCATGTTTTTCTCATTGATGTTACAAACTCTTTGGAGGTGTTATCTATATTGGCAACATAAATTGTACCCTAAGTCAGTGAGCCATTTCCTTATTTTAGATAATTGCTGTTGTAATCATGGACCCATGTGCCTAAAACATTTATTTCTCATTATTTTTTAGAGAATACTGCATCCAAATGTTTAAATTCCCTTCAGCTGGTTGTGGTAGTGCACGCCTGAAATCCTGTCTACTCTGGAAACTGAAGCAGGATTGAAAGTCCAAGCCCAGCCTGGTTAATTTACTGAGACCCTTTCACAAAGTAAAATTTTAAAAGTGGCCGAGGTGGTAGCTTAGCATTCCCTGGCTCCCTCCCCAGTTCCACCACACACAAAAAACCCAAAACCAAACAAAAACGGAAACCCTTTCTTCCTGTGTCCAGTTGCTCCCATAGTGACCCCCGTCTCTGCCCTTACCAACAGTTCCTTTTTCTCTGTCCTCATTTGCACTTGCTACTTAGTTGCTTTTCTGTCTTTATGTGTTCCTTCTGCCCTGCCCTCAATTTGTTTTCCTTCTTTGAAATATAATTTTTGAAGTTACAGTATCTACTCTGAAATGGACTTTGATTAGTAATAGAGTATTTAAACCTGGATCTAGCAGTGGTACTTGGGTATAGTGCCAGCGACTTAGGAGTCTGGGCCAAGATGCTCACTTGAGCCAAGGCATTTGAGGACATTGTGGACAACTCAGTGAGACCTTGTCTCAACGAAAAGGGCAGGGGTGTGTCTCAGTGGAAAAGCGTCCCTGCGATTGATCTCCAGTATAAAAAAATAAATTGTATACAGTTCCATTTTTCATGTAATACTTTTTCTTTGTGTTTCAAGATTGTTTTAAAATAGCATTGTAAACTGGGTACTTGGGAGGCTGAGGCAGGAGGACTGCTCTGAGTTCGAGACCAGCCTGGGCTAGTGAGTTCCAGATCAATCTCAACTACATAGTGAGACCCTGTCTCAACAAACAAACAAAACAAAAAAAATAAATAAATAAATAATAAAATAAAATAGCATTGTTCTAGATCTTGCATACTTCCGCTAACATTTATTCTTTGGTATTAGTCTGCTCTAATGTTTTCTAATTCACGTATGTGAAAATACTGATTTTTTTTCATATTGAGTCTGTACTCAGCATCCTTTATTCTTTTGTCCAGGGTGAATTATACAGTACACTATACCACTTGTGAGAATATGTTAGCATTCCCTGGGCTCCCTCCCCAGTGCTACCACACACAAAAACCCCAAAACCAAACAAACAAAAAAACCCTTCCTTCTCAGTAGTGGTGCTGGTGAGTCAGTCTGTAGGTCTTAGCCTTTAACATCTATTACCAAGCTCTTTTCTACCCACGATGCGCCAGTTACTCTCCCACCAGAAAGAGCACAGGGTGGCCCATTCCTCCTGAGTGTGCTCTTGACTTGGTCATATTTCAGTTAAATCTTTGTAAGTAAATGGAAAATATGAGCTTTTGTTTTTTTCATTTTTTATTAATGTAGCTGAATTCTATTAAGTTTATTGGTAACTTCTGTGCATTCCCTTCCTACACTTTTTTAATGTAACTGCTAATCCTTTGTGAAATTTTACGTTTTTTTTCCATTGTTTGTCTTTCAGCATTGTTTGTAAATTATTTTTAAGCCTTTGAAAGTTATTTCTTTATTTTTAAAATTTGAGACAAAAATCTCACTAAATTGCTCAGGCTGGTCTTGAACTTGGAATCTTCCTGCCTTACCATCCCAAGTAGCTAGAATTACTGGCATGTGCCACCAGCTCAGCAGAAAATCTTTTATATAATCAAACTTTGTGTTCTTCTTATGGTCTTTGTGGTCTTTTTCCCCATAAAATTATTTTTTAATCTACTGAAAGGTACTTTTATTGTTTTCTAAAAGTACTTGTATTGTTTTCTAAAAGTGCTTTCATTGTTTCTTTTTGACATTTAACTTTTAATTTATCTTGACATTTACCAGTTTACCATGATACATAGAATGTTGTAGGAATATTATTGTGTTAATCCAAGTGGCTTCCAGGAGTTCCAGTGCTATTTCCTTAATAATCCATCTTTTCTGAGAATTTTTAAATACTTCTTATGGAACAGTTGGATAATTTGATGAAAAACTTTTACCATCATGCCATACTATATGGTGTATACCAAAATAAATTCCAGATAAGTCTGAGAGTTCAACTAAGAAAACATAATAAGAAAATGGGCTAGCAGAATAGCTCAGTGGTGTAGACTATGGTTAGCATGCCCGAGGCCCTGGGTTCAATCCCCAGCACAAAAAAAGGAAGAAGGGAAAGAAATAAATGGAATTGCTAGTTTATTCTAACACCTTCAGGAAAGTTTAAGCCAAATTTAATAAAATACACTAACTCCAAAGTTGTTCGGGCTCTGGAAAAGCAAGTACTTGAGCCCTTTGACCTAGTATTACTGATTTGAGGAGGATACTTTAAGGAGACGGTTTGGAGAGAGGGAAAATAAGCAGTGTATAAATGATAATCTTGGGTATCTATTTATAATGGTTGAACGCTGGTCACACACATATTCCCCAAGATAAAGTTCTAATTAGACTGTGGTGTTTTGGCCTGGCATAGTATTTTGTCACACACTTAAATATAGCTCTGTTCTCTTGATTTCTATACACTCATAAACTGGTAGAAAAGCAAATTCCCAGATAGTTTGTATGTACTGTGAAGATATATAAAAGATTGTATATATTTTTTTCCAAGACTGGATGAGAATTTAAAGTAGAATATTCAAGAAATATTGAATACTTCCCATATGAGGCTTAGCCTGTGCCTTGAATATATACTTAGGTTGGAGAAATAGACCTCTATCTGACTGTAATATATTGTGTCAAATACTATATAGTAAAAGTATACACATTGTGGTGTGGGAAAACATAGGAACCTGGGTCAGTAGAAGGATTTGGCGAGTGGAAGAAAGACATATATAGTTCAGGGAAAGAGCTATAACAATTTTGTTGAGATATCTTTCACATACCATATGGGCCAGGGATTTAGCTCAGTGGTTCCGCTGCCTGCCTTATTAGCGCAGGGTCTGGAGTTCAATCCCTGGTACCAAAAAAAAGCCACTTACCACAAAATTTACCTTTCAGAGTATACAGTTCAGTGGTTGTGTATTCCTAAAGTTGTGCAACCCTCACTACAGTCAGTTTGAAAACATTTTAAATAACCAAAACTGAAACCTTGAACCTATCAGCAGACCACCCTCATTTCCCCCAACTCACTCCTCCAACCTAGGCAGCAACTAATCTACTTTCTGTCTCTATAGATTTGTCTATTCCGAACACATCATGTAAATGGAATCATGCTTCATGTGGTCTTTTGTTCCTGACTCCTTTTATTTAATATGGTGCTTTCAAAGTTCATCCTTATTGTAGCATGTTGGTACTGTATTCCTTTTCACTGCTGATGATACTCCATTGAATGGATATATCATGTTTCATTTACTCATTTATCAGTTAATTACATTTAGATGGCTTCCACTTTTCTGTTGTCTTAAACCACTATTAGCATTTGTGTACATGTTGGGTTTTTTTGTTTGTTTGTTTGTTTTTGGTACCAGGGATCAAACTCGTGACCTTGCGCTTGCAAGGCAGGTGGCGGCACCACTGAGCTAAGTCCCCAGCCCCATGTACATGTTTTTATGTGGACATATTTTCATTTTTTCTTGACCATATAACTAGGAGAATTGCTGGGTCACGTGTTTACTCTGTATTTCATCAGTTGAGGAACTGACAGGCTGTTTTCTAAAGTGGCTGCGCCAGTTTTCACTCCTCTTAGTGAATAGATTCCAGTTTCTCTATTTTCTTACACTTAATTTTTTTGTTTTGTTTTGGTATTAGGGATTGAAGTTACAACCTTGCGCTTGGGAGGCAGGCACAGTGCCACTGAACTAAATAAATCCCTAACCCTACACTTGTTATTTTTATTAGAATCATCCTAGTGGATCTGAAATGATACCTCATTGTAGTTTTGATTTATATTTTCCTCATGACTAATGATGTTAAGCAGCTTTTCATGTTCTTATTGGCTAGTTATGCATTTGGAGAAGTTTTTCAGATTTTTGCCTCTGTATAAAATAGAGTTATTTGTCTTTCTCAATTAGTTACAGAAGTTATTTATATATTCTAGATACAACTTCTTTAACATGTACATGACTTCAGGTATTTTTCTCTCACTCTCTGTTGTCTTTTCCCATTCCTGATGTTATCCTCTGAAGGACAGATGTTAGTGATAAATTCAAATTTATTTTTTCTTTTGTGCCTTTTGCATTTAGTGTCATATCTAAGAAAGTATTACTGGTCCAAAGTCATAAAGATTCCCATGTGTGTTTCCTTCTAAGTTTTACCTCTCTTACATTTAGGTCTTTGAGTGAGTGAGTGAGTTATTTATTTATTTATTTATTGTACGGGGATCAAACTCAGGTCCTTGTGCTTGTGTGGCAGGCGCGGAACCACTGAGCTAAATCCCTGGCCTGAGTTAATTTTTGTATATGGTGTGAGGTAAGGCTCCAACTTTATTGCTCAGTATATAACTCTTCAGTTATCCTAGCACCACTTGTTTCCCCTATGAATTGTTTTCATGTCTTTTTGAGAACCATGTGATTATAAATATGAAGGTTTATTTCTGGACTTGTAATTCTAGTTGTTTGCTCTATATGTCTACTCTTAATGTCATCACCACTCTCTCTTTTTTTTTTTTTTTTTTTTTTTTTTGGTACTGGGGCTCAAACTGAGGACCTTTCACGTGTGAGGCAGGCCGCAGAATTACCACCCTCTTCTTTCTGTGGCTTCATAGTATATTTTGAAATTAGCAAATATGAGTTTAGCAACTATGAGTTCCTTGTTTTTGGTTTTTCACTATTACTGTAGCTACTGTAGGTCTCTTGAGTTTTCCTAATGAATTTTGTAATTAGCTAGTTAATTTCTGTGAAGAAATGAGCTGGGATTTTTTTTTATAGGAATTGCATTGAATCTGTGGATCAATTTGATGTGTATTGCTGCTTTAATAATATAAATAAAGTCTGTCAGTCTATGAACATGGGGTATCTTTCCACTTATTTTGGTTTTCAATTCTCATTGTTACTTTATTGTTTTTAGTACAATACTTTTGAACTGTTGTTACATTTACTCCTAACTTTATTTTTTTATTATGTCTATTTTCTGAATTGCATTTTTGGATGGTTCACTGCTGCTATATTGTATAGAAATTCCACTGATATTTTGTATATTGATCTTGTGTCTGCAGCCTTGTTGAACTTATTTATTAGTTCTAACAGTTTTTTAGTGGGTTCCTTAGAATTTTCCATATATAAAAATTTGTCATCTACAAATTGTTATCTCTGATAATTTTAGTTCTTCCTTTCCAATGTTGATGCTTTTATTTCTTTCTTTTGGTTAATTGTCCTGGTTAGAACTATAGTTTGTGTTAAACAGAAGTAGTGACAGTAGGCAGCCTTAGTCTTGCTCTTAAAGGGAACCTATTCCATCTTTCACCATTAAGTATGATGTTAACTTTGGTGTTAATTTGTGTTTTTTAAATGTATTTAGTTGAGGAAATTCTCTTCTATTCCTAATTGTTGACTGTTTATATGATGAAGCAATATTGGATGTTGCTAAATGCTTTTTGTGAAAGTATTTAAATTGAGAAAATCATTTAGCTTTGGGCCTTCATTCTATTGACATTTTGTTACATTAATTGATTTTATAGTGTTATACCAACATTGCTTTCCTCCATTAAATCTTACTTTATCATAATGCACAGTCCTTTTTATGTATTGTTGGATTTGGATAGCTAATGTTTTGTTAAGGAATTTTACAACTGCATTCCTAAGATATATTTATAGTTTTCTTTTGCGGCCATGGATTTGTCTGGTTTTGTTATCTGGGTAATAATAGCCTCAGAATGAATTGGGAAATGTTTCTGATTCTTTTGTTACAAATTATTTTACATACAAATTATTTTAATGTACAGTTTGCCAGAGAAGCAAATTAGGCCTGGGCTTCTCTTTGTGGATACTTTTTTTTTTCTTAACCGTTTTAGTTTCTTTACTTGTTATAGCCCTAGTCAGATTTTCTATTTCTTCTTGAGTCAAAAGCTGCGGCTTTCTAGGAATTTACCATGTCCTTTAAGTTATCTAATTTCGTGGCACAGAATAACTCACAGATCAGTGCCAATGTGCAGGGAGTGACTTTGTATCTCAGTTTTTAAGGGTGTAGTTACAGGGCATGTTGTGAGTTACAAAGAGGCAGATAAATCTGAGAAGAAAAAAAGACATGGGTTGTAATAATAGGCATCAAGAAACACAACAGGTTTGGGCAGCTGCACGTAGTTCACCATGCTAGACACTGTAGATGTCATAGACCCTGAGAAGACTTAATCCCAGATAAACAGGCAGACAGTGGTGGATGCAGCGTCTCGTGGACAACTGGTTAGTTGTGCTTTGTCCTGGAAGCAGTGAAGAGTCACATGATCACATTTACTTTTTGGAAAGATCATGACAATGAGTAACACATGGATGCGGTACATGAAGGGTAAAGGGAATTTGTGGTAAGGAAACCAGTTTCTTACAGTTTCAAAGACTGCTGAAAGTAATGAGCTTGCTGACATTTTTTAACCAAATCCCTTAAAGTTCACTAGGCTCATTGGTAGTCTGATTCATAAACTAAAACATCACATTGCAACTGGCTAATTAGCTACTGACAAAAGAATTGCTAATTTCTTAACCATTTCCATCTTGACTTAGCCACTTATAATGCTTTTACTTCCTTAAACCTTGCTTCACTATATAAAGAATAAGAGCCTTCTTTCCACTAGTGATGTAATCTTGATGTAATTTCTGTGAACAAGGACATTGAGGGAGCAGTAATGGATAGTCCTTTGGCCCAGTGGTTGGGTAGTGTGATAGGCAGCTGTGCCTAATGCTGTGCCTGAGCCTCATAGTTGAAGTACAGGGCCTGACCTAAGAATGTCTGTAGCTCTGGTTCATAGTTTTTGGATGTTTCCCATACTCACTGTTATCATAAACTTACAGAAACTTATAATGAAATAAAATAGTTATACCTATATGTCACTAAGTAGAAAATATTATTTCAATTTTTTATCAAAAATATTTTCAAAGGGAAGGTAGTGTTATTAATACAACTTTAATTACTGCATAATTTGGGGAACTGGCTCACAAAATTTTCTTACACTTGGGTAGTTTTAAAGGTATCTTTTAGGAAAGGGGGAGGAGATGAAGGGATGTGGAAAAACACACATATAGGCCTGGTGCAGTAGTTTAGGCCTGTAATCCCAGGACTCTGGCAGGTTACGGCAAAAGGATTGCAAGTTTAAGCCTGCCCAGGCAATTTAGTGACTTACAAAGACTCTGTGTCAGAATTTAAAAAAAAATTTTTTTAATGGCTGTGTGAAGAACCTGGGTTCAATTCTCAGTACTACCAAAAAATAAATAAAAAAGTAAACTTCTAAGATATTTTCCTAAAAATAATTTCACATTTTTCTCCTCATTGAGTTTATTGGTACATTTTAGAGATACAGTTCAGTTACATTCATCATTGGGATGTTGTACCTTTACATGACAAGTCTTGGTTCTCATTTTTTCCCCATACCCCTGCCCTCCCTTCTCCCTCTCCTCCCTTGCCTATTTACAAAAACTTTATTTTCATTTTAATTTCACATTTTAAAATGTTTAAAAATGTTAGTGTAACAAGAGACTTTGAAGATTAACTAGTTCAGCCAGCATCATTTTCAGATGTTTTCGTGTCTGTTTATTTTTGTTGTTGTTGTTGTTGTCTATATTTTTTCTTTTCCATTCTGTATTTTTGTATCTAAGAAGAAAGAAGTCCAACAGAGATATGATGTGTTTGTGAAATTAACTTTTAAATTTCTGTAATTTAAAAAATAATAGGTTGAGTCATAATGTGAATTCTAAGCATTACATTGCTTTTTGGTGGATTTTTTCTGTAGGTTATTTCAACTATTGCAGAGTTCATGTGCTTGACTTTTCAAATATTAAAAATTGCCTTTCATAGTGCTGAAGTTATAGTTTCCCCACTTTTAAGTTCTCGTCTTTGTAACATGAAAACAAAAACACGATTCTTTCTAAACCAAATAATTCTACCTAAAACCAACCAAACGAATGTAGTTTTTCCTGTTCTATCTAGCTTCTTAATCTAAGATCTGAACCATCTATATCAGATCTCATGTCCTCACATTAATTCTTATTTGTATGTCTTTTCTTAACATTATTTGTATTTTTCCATTTGTTACCTGAACACTGAGAGTTTGCAAGTGTCTGTAAGCTGAATGTTAATTTGTTGGCAACATCCTGTCAGTGTAGCATTCTGCCTTGTACCTTTAATGAAAAGCTGCTTCTTTTTGTGTGCTATAAACGTATTATCTTCCCGCTAGGAGCTGGAGATGTAGCTCAGTGGTAGAGCAATTTACTAGCATGTGCAAGGCTCTGGGTTACATCCCCAGTACCACATGCACACACAAAAATTGAATGTGTATACTTCTAGCCTATTTTTGAACCAGTTAAAGGTCTTATTTTCTCAAACAGCAACAAAATAACGTGCATTTTTAATTCCTTTCACCAGAATGGGAGTCAATGATGGAGAATGAGGAGGCAACACCGAAGCTGAGTATCTCTCCAAGGACCGACTCTCAGAGAGGAACAGCAAAAAGACTTGAAGAAGGCGTTCCCCAGGTTCTTGAGGTTGAAGAAGAGTGCGAGTGGCAAGTTTTGCCAAATCAGTTGGGAAATGAAACTGGGGAAAGAATAGATACAGTGAAGAAAGTTTCCATTTGTGAACAAGACAAGAAGAAAAGGGTACCATCCGAAAAACAGGGCCAGAAGGGGAAGGTGGATGGAGAAAGCGTGACTTTAGCTCCAGCTATTTCTGACAGCTTAATTGGTACTGACGGAAAGAAGTTTTATAAATGTGATACATGTTGTAAACATTTTAATAAAATCTCCCATCTTTTAAACCATCAGAGAATCCACACTGGTGAAAAACCTTATAAATGTAAGGAATGTGGAAAAGGCTTTATTCAGTGCTCGAGCCTTAGAATGCACTTGCGGAACCATTCTGGGGAGAAACCTTACAAATGTAATGAATGTGGGAAAGCATTCTCTCAGAGCGCCTATCTCCTGAACCATCAGAGGATCCATACTGGAGAGAAGCCTTACAAATGTAAGGAGTGTGGGAAGGGCTTCTATAGGCACTCAGGTTTGATTATACATCTACGCCGCCACTCAGGGGAGAGACCTTTTAAATGTAATGAATGTGGGAAGGTTTTCTCCCAAAATGGTTACCTTGTTGACCATCAAAGGCTCCACAAAGGAGAAGAGCCTTACAAGTGCAACAAGTGCCAGAAAGCTTTCATTCTGAAGAAGAGCCTCATTCTACATCAGAGAATCCACTCTGGGGAGAAACCTTATAAATGTGATGAATGTGGAAAAACCTTTGCTCAAACCACCTACCTTGTTGACCATCAGCGACTCCACAGTGCAGAGAACCCTTACAAATGTAAAGAGTGTGGTAAAGTCTTCATTCGAAGTAAAAGCCTCCTTTTGCACCAACGAGTCCACACAGAAAAGAAAACCTTTGGTTGTAAAAAATGTGGAAAGATTTTCAGTGCTAAATCAAACCTCATTGACCACAAGAGGATGCACAGTCGAGAGAAGCCCTACAAATGCACTGAGTGTGGGAAAGCCTTCACACAGAGCGCTTACCTCTTTGACCACCAGAGACTGCACAATGGAGAGAAACCCTATGAGTGTAATGAGTGTGGGAAAATTTTCATTCTAAAGAAGAGCCTCATTTTACATCAGAGGTTCCACACTGGAGAGAACCTCTATGAATGTAAAGACTGCGGCAAGGTCTTTGGTTCTAACAGAAATCTCATTGACCATAAGAGACTCCACAATGGGGAAAAGCCATATGAATGTCGGGAGTGTGGGAAAACCTTTATCATGAGCAAAAGTTTCATGGTCCATCAGAAACTACACACCCAGGAGAAAGCATACAAGTGTGACGATTGTGGGAAGGCTTTCAGTTACAATTCAAGCCTTCTTGTACACCGGAGAATCCACACTGGAGAAAAGCCCTTTGAGTGTAGTGAGTGTGGGCGAGCATTCAGCTCAAACAGAAACCTCATTGAACATAAGAGAATCCACAGTGGTGAGAAGCCCTATGAGTGTAATGAGTGTGGCAAATGCTTCATTCTGAAGAAAAGCCTCATTGGACATCAGAGGATTCACACACGGGAAAAATCTTACAAATGCAATGACTGTGGGAAAATCTTCAGTTACCGCTCCAACCTGATCGCTCACCAAAGGATCCACACTGGGGAGAAGCCCTATGCATGTAATGAGTGTGGGAAAGGCTTTACCTACAACAGAAACCTCACTGAACATCAGAGAATTCACAGTGGGGAAAAAACGTATGAATGCCATATATGTAGAAAAGTTCTTACCTCTAGTCGAAACCTTATGGTACATCAAAGAATCCACACTGGTGAGAAACCTTATAAATGTAATGAATGTGGAAAAGACTTTAGTCAGAATAAAAACCTTGTGGTGCATCAGAGAATGCACACCGGGGAAAAACCTTATGAGTGTGAGAAGTGCAGGAAATCCTTCACTTCTAAGAGAAATTTGGTCGGCCACCAAAGAATCCACACAGGGGAGAAACCTTATGGGTGTAATGATTGTAATAAAGTTTTTAGGCAAAGAAAAAACCTTACTGTACATCAGAAAGTTCATACAGATGAAAAGCCCTGTGAATGTGTTGAGTCTGGAAAAGAATTCTCTCAGACTTCGAACCTTCATCTTCAAAAAATACATGTGCAGGAGTTCTCCTGGCTACAGAATACAAGTGAGTCCAAGATAGAGGGTCAGAAAACTCAATGGAGGGCTGGGGACATGGCTCAGTGATAAAGCACTTGCCTAGCATGCACAGGTTCCTGGGATCAAGCCTCGGCACCACAAATAAAGGAAAACAATGTGGTATATAAAATGCAGTGGACTCCTGCAAAGTAACTGTTGGAGGGCCGGGCATTTAGCCTAGTGGTTCTGCTGCCTGCCTCCCAAGTGCAAGGTTCCTAGTTCAATCCCCAGTGCCCCAAAAAACCAAAACCAGTGACAAAGTAACTGTTGAAGGAATCAAGTGGGCAAAAGTTTACTTACTGTTTTAAGCAGGGGATGGTGATGCACACCTGTAATCCCAGCACTCAGGAGACTGAGGCAGGATTGCCACAAGATTGAGATCAGCCTGAGCTACTAATGAGACCTTGTCTCAAAAAAAAAAAAAAAAAAAAGTTTACTGGCTGAGAATAACCTGAAAGGAACACTGGATTTATAGTCAGAAGACTTAGGTTTGTAGGTGTGTTTGTGTGTGTTGGTCACTGGGGATTGAACACAGGATGTTTTGCACTGAGCTGCATCCCCCACCTCTTTTTAAAATTTTCGCCAAGTCACTAATTTTCCCAGGCTGAGCTTGCTTCAGTCTCCCAGAATTGCAAGATTACAGACATATACCACCATGCCTGGCTTAGGTTTGGGTTCTATTACTATGTCATGTTACTAAATCTGCCTCTAAACTTCAGTCTCTCTTTCAGTCCAATGTTGACATAATGGCTCCCTTGCAACAATATGGTTGTCAGGGTTAACTGAAAGGACCTTTTTGAAATCATTCGCTTGTCAATAAAGTTGGATAGAACAGATATGGTTAGACTCTGTATCATGGCATAATATTTGTCCATCAAGTCAGTTATTAGAATGAGGGAGATTCCATGAATCTCAGATACTACTTTTTATAAGAGGAAGTATGGTAGGTAGATAGTTAACTTTGAAATTCAGTATTCTAAGAAAAAATTCAAATACAGCTGTAAAATGTTAATGTGTAATATGCCTACTTTGTCTTTATGGGAAAATATTAATGGTCAGCCATTAACATTGAGGTCAAGGAAAGTTATTATTTTTCAGTCTTTGAACATGAAACTCAGTATATGCAGTGCATCAAAGTAGAAGTCCTGTCTTGAATTCCTTGTTTTTAGAGAGAGGTCCATAACTTCATCAGCTGAGCTGATGATCTCTGACATTCTCAATGCTGATCAATATTTAATCATGAAACAACATTGTGCCCCAGAACTTAATTTATGATACACAGAGCCAATCCCTTCATGTTCTGATGAAGCCAGTGCCCAACCCATCCCTCCGGTACAGGTCTGCCCAGTACTCTGTGAACCAGTCCATTCAGCCTGAGCCTGTTGTATATTTGTAGGATAAGTCAACCAATATTCTTGTTTGTTGTTGTTTTTTGTACGTGGGATCGAACTTGGGTCCTTATGCTGTGAGCTAGGCAGTAGAACCACTGAGCTAAATCGCTGGTCCATCAACGATATTCCTTATCCACTTTGTTTTTTGAGACAGTCTCCCTGTGTAGCTCAGGCTGGCCTTGAACTCACGGCAATCCTCCTGCCGTAGCCTCCCAATCAGCCGATATTCTTGAGTTGATCATTTCATGTAATACTTAAAACTAGTTTTGCAGCTGTAAAAACATATATATATATATATATGGATTGTGTTTTGTCATACCAGTAATACACAAGTGATAGGTTAAGTAAATGTATAAATATTATTAATTCAGCTTCAGAGCTTCTTGAGGGCTGGTTCGTCATCACATTAAAAGGTATCCAAGAGAAAGGGAGGTGGGGGAGGGGCTGGGATTTAGCTCAGTGGTTCTGCTGCCTGCCTTGCAAATGCAAGGACCTGAGTTCAATCCCCGGCACCCGCCCCCCCAAAAAAAGGGAAGGGGCTCACAGTTTAAAGTCTTAGGACCTAGATAAGTCAGACTTTATTGTTTATCTTGGACAAATCCATTCACTTCCTAGAACCTTTATTTCCTTGTCTGTCGGATATCAGGAAAGATATCTACCTCACAAAGTTGTTTTTAAGGTAATGTATATGAAAATACCTCACATCTCTTTTGCAGAAGACTCACTGCAGATTATATGTAATTACAAAGGAACATAAATATTTTAGCAAAGGAGAAAGCTGACATTTACTTTGTAACCAAACCATGCATTTTTTATTTATTATTTATTTTTTATTCATTTTTGCTGTACTAGGGATCGAACCTTGTACTTGCCAAGCAGGCATGGTGCTACTGAACTACATTCCTGGCCCTCAAGTAAGAAAATTCAACATTAAGACTGAGCCAGGGCCTGTGATGTAGCTCAGTGGTACTGTGCCTTCCTTGCAAACACAAGGTCCTGAATTTGATCCCCAGTACCTGAAAAGAAAGAAAGAGAAAAAGAAACATTGAGCCCTAAGGGCTGGGGGATTTAGCTCAGTGGTTCGGCTGCCTGCCTCACAAGTGCAAGGTCCATAGTTAGATCCCTGGTACCAAAAAAAAAAAAAAA